GAATTAGATCACCAACTTTCCTGGGTCTCCAGCTTGCCAACTGCAGATCTTGGGACTTCTCAGCCTTGACAGTTGAGTGAGCCAATCTCTTATAATCTCTCTCTTTCTCTCTCCCCTCATATTTATCTACTGACTGATCGATAGAAATATCTCCTATTGGCTTTGTTTCTCTGGAGATGCCTGACTGATACAAAGACATAGCAGTGGAGCTGGTGGGAAGTAGGCAGGTTCTGTGTTCACAAGGAGGAGCTGATAGGACTGGCTGATTCATTGGATGTAGGGTGTAGAGAGAAAGAGGAATCAAGGATAGGTCAAGGTTTTCACTCAGAGCAACTACAAGAAAAGAGGTTCCTTATGCTGAATTGGGGAAGAGGGAGAGAGGGGAGGGGAGGGGAGAGGAGTATTGCTTGAGATTAAGAGTTCCCTTTTGGACCCTTTAAGTTTGGAGTTGTCAAACTGTGGGATAGATGAGCCTGGGATGAAGATATCAATTTGACAGTCTTTAGCACATAGATGGTTTGCCAATAGAATTTAGATGTCTGAAGTCTGAGTTCTGGGGTTACTCCAAAGTTCAGATATGAGGAAGATGAAACATCAAGAAAGGAAAATGAGAAGGAATAATCAGTGAGATGCATGAACTAACAAAGAATGGTGTTCCAGAAGCCAAATGAAACATGTTTCAAGAATGATCAACTATCAAGTGCTGCTACAGTGGGTAAAATTAGGACTGAAAATTGAGCAATGGTCTTGAGCATATGGAGGTCAATGGAGAACTTGATAAGGAGAGTTTTGGTGGCATGTGGTGGACACAGCCTCTTAGGAGTGGGCCCAAATAGAACAAAAAGAGAGTAAATAGGTTCAGTGAAATGTGACTAAAGCTAGAAGGAAATGTATAGTCAGGGGAGACTTTTTAAAATTAGAAAATATACATATTTTTATGCTATGAAATGAACAGAAAGGGAAGGAAGAAGTGATGATGCAGGAGAGAAAAGGGATCCTGGCTGGAGTAATGTTCTTGAGTAGATGAGCAGTAATGGGATCCAATGCACAAATGGAAAGTTGGCGTTAAGTAGAACATAGATTTCGTCCCTCGTAACAACTGGAGGGGAGGCAGAATGTATGAACAAGGAGGCTGGTGAATGTGGAGCCATGAACCTGATATATCAATGAAGAAGCAAGGCCATCAGCTGTGAGGAGTAGAGAGGACGTTTGAAAAGAGAGGGGAAAGTATGAAATAGCATCTAGGGATAGTGAGAGATTAAATGAACTTTGATAATATATTCAAATTGTTGGTTAGGACTAAGGGTTTATTTGAAGTCAGGGATCATGCATATAAAGGGAGGCCAGTCAGTACAGTTGTGGTTCTCACCAATCTCCTTTGCCTGTGTGGATGCAAATAAAACTAGGCAGAGGTCCAGAGATAACCAGACTTTGGAGTTGCCACGTGAATATGCTGGAAGGGAGAGGGACAAGAGCACTGAGTGTCCATGCAAGGGAATAATTATTTTTAAAAAGGAGCATGGCAACTAAATCAAGTAAGGAGAGAAAAGAGGACATGAATGGTGTTGAGCCCAAGTAAAAGGTGTTAGGTAAATGGGTTGGAGGTTCCAGGACACCAAGAAATTGTTGCATTTAAGGGGTAGAGAGATTCCGTTGAAAAAATACAAGTTGGTTATCAGAGAATGGGATTTTGAGATTTGGATCATAAAAGGATGCAGATACTGATGATGACAAGGTCTAGACTGACCTTGGTTCTCTCTCTTTTTTTTGAAAATATGTTTGGTTTTTTAAAAATTGATTTTAGAGAAAGGAAGGGTGAGGGATAGAGAGAAACATTGAGCAAGCGCGCCCGAAACCGGTCCATGTGCCCTGACCGGGAATCAAACCAATGACTTCTTGGTTCATGGGTTCACTGAGCCACACCAGCTGGGCCTGACCTTGGTTCTCTGCAATTGATCGTCCTACCTTCGGCTAGAATCCCAAGTAGGTCTTCTGTGTTTTATACATTTTTCTGGAGAAGTTGGCTCTCACTTCCAGTCTGGATTTTTTGAGCCATGAGGACTAAAGAGGACTTTAAGGTAAAACTCAGGTAAAGTAGGGCAAGCATTTGGAGATGAGCGTGGCGGCCACATAAAGGCTTGTCCCCTTGTAGACATCATCTTATACACCACTGCCATCCCTAAGGTGAAGGGCTCATAAATCTATTGAATCTCAGGGTTGGAAGGTCATCTAGCCCAGCTGCCCCGCCCGTGTGCAACTCATCCATAGCCCTCAGCTAAATAGTCATTGTATATCCCCCACGCAAGGTAGTAATCACCAACCACTATTTCTCTTTTCCATGCTAGTTTGCAAACTCCTTAAGGATATGTGTTTAACTTATCATTGTTTATTGTAACATAAAATTTACCACTGTAACCACTTTATAGCATAAAGTTCAGTTTTGTTAAGTACATTCATATTGCTGTGCAACCATCACCACCCATTTCCAGAATTTTTTCATCCTCCCCAAATGACAACTCTGTACCCATTAAACACTAATTCCCATTTCCCCTTCCCCCAGCTCCTGGCAACCACCGTTCTACTTTCTCTCTCTATGAATTTGACTACTCTAGATCCCTTATGTAAGGGGAATCATACAATATTTGTCTTTTTGTAGCTGACTTATTTCACTCAGCATAACGGCTCCAAGGTTTACCCATGTTATACATAGCATGAGTCAGAATCTCCTTCCCTTTTAAGGCCAAATAATATTGCTCTTCCGTATCTGCTTTTCTTTTTCTGGGGTATATACCCAGCAGTGGAATTGCTGGGTTATACTGCAATTCTTTGTGTAATTTTCTGTGATATCATCAAACTGTTTTCTGCAGAGGCTGCACCATTTTATATTCATACCAGCAACACACAAGGGTCCCGATTTCTCCACATCCTTGCCAACACTTGTTATTTCCATATAATCTATCTTTAATTTACTCTCTATTTGACACCTTTCTGGGCACGTGCTGTTCTTGTATGAGTAAATGAATAGCTCGTTTTTAACCCCATTAAAAGGGAATTGAGGTTAAATCAGTCAACTTGTACTCAACAAGCCCCCCCCCCCTTGTTCTACATCTGCACTGTCCATTACTGTAGCCACATACGGTTATATTTAAATTCAGATTAATTAAAATGAAACAAAATTTTAGAGCCACATACGGTTATATTTAAATTCAGATTAATTAAACAAAATTTTAAATGCAGTTCTTCAGTCTCACTGGTGACATTTCAAATGCATAATAGGCACCATAACTAATGGTTACTCCCAGGTCACTGTCTTCTTTCCATCTGCTTGTTTTTCTTCTTGTATCAGCTGCAAAGTTTTCACATCTTGTTCCTGCTTTTTTGTCACTGCCCCTGGTTTAACCTCTAGCCCTTTTATAACCGCACTGGTAACTCGGGGAGGAGTCTGGCCAGACGCCTGGTGAGTAGGCACTGATAGTCTCCTTACTGGTGTACTGTGGGCTGTGGAAACAGGATGGAGGCTGGCATCCGATAGTAGGGACTGTCTGAATAACCACCTTTGCAGTGATTGCTGTTGTTGGACTAGTGCTGGTTATTAATGGTGCACCTGCATTAACTGACTGAACTGCCTGAGTTGAAATTTTCTGACCCAATGTTATCATTATGACAGGAGTTAAAATAAAGTCCGTTGGAAAGACATCATGAAGTTTTGTCAGATGGCTAAGATTTGCATAGGAGAAATGGAGGGAATCTGGCCTCTAGGTGCAGAGGTTCTTAAGTTGGTGAAAGAAGAGAAAAGAATTCTGAGAAGAAGAAGGGTAGAATACTGGTATGTACGTCACCACTAAGTCACCAGGTCACCTGTAGGCTCCTACTCACGATCCCTTTACTAAACTCAAATCCAGGTCCAAGTTACGGGCTATGTGAGAACCTCTAAGGGTGGGAGGCCTTCAAAGCAGGCCACTGCCACTCATCTAAACACCGATATTCTTCCTCTAGCATTTCATTTTCATTCTGGATTTCCCTGAAAATTCAATACATCTATTAATCCATTAAAATATCAGAGTAAGCTTAGAAGAATTACTTTAAAAGCAATGCAATAGATTACTCTCATAGAAAAGCAAATTTCTTGTTGTTCTGTAAGCGTATTTTTCTGTGCTTGGTATACAAGGAGGGGCAGAAATCAAGTGGTGGAAATTGCATTATTTTGATTTTAATTAAATGTTTTCCCTGCCTATAGTTCATTAAATGACACTGTTGTATTCTTTTTTTAAAAAAAATATGTCTTTATTGATTTTTAGAGAGAGAGAAAGAGAAACATCTCTATACATACTCTGACTGGGGATCAAACCCGCAACCTGGGTATGTGCCCTGACCAGGAATCAGACCAGTGACTTTTTGGTGCAGGGGACGATGCTCAAACAACTGAGCCACATTAGCCAGGGCTGTTGTATTCTTATTTTAACCCAAATTGCAAGTTAGTGAAAACTTTCCTCTGAAATACTGGCATATTTATAAAAGGCCTGAAATTTACATGTATGGCTGCCTGCTGTATGCATACAAAAAGAATAATTTCTGTGAAAGAGAATGCGCTTAAAAATTCTGGTCTAGAGATAGAACTGATTGGCTTAATAACTCAAAAAGGAAACCATTTTTTCTGCAATTATGATTTTGCATAACAAGTTGCAAAAGTATTTTAAAGTGAGACTGTTACTCAATAGTCATTTCTGGTAAAAACCCCTTTTGCGCCATGGCCCTGTCCTGCGGAACTAATAAAAGTGAAACAAAAGTATAAACAAAACAAAAAATAAGCCATGCCTTTTACAGATAACTGTTCAGTCATGATCCTTTAAATGTTGCTTTTGAATTTGAATCATTCAATTAATTTTCAACAAATGTAATTCACAAATAGGCTAAACATTTTTACATCCATATTTTGTTCATTGACATGAATTTGTGCTATCTGTTTAGAAACTGTGTATTTCTACACCAAAAAGCCTTACTTTGGGGGTGAGCCGTGGTTTTCTTCTCTTTTCCCTCCTCTTCATCCATGTCATCCTCTTGCTGCAGCTCCATATTTTTATCTGTCTTCCTTTTCCTTTAACACACGCTTCAGATGGACTGCTTTCTTCCTTCAGTATGGTTTATAATTTCTGCGAGTGCATGGACCGTAGCCAGCATCCCTTCGTGACCCTAAAGAAAACTTAAAAGTACAATATTGGCACCACAAAAAACAAAGATGTTTCAAAAGATGAATATTTTTAAGATGAATTTACAAAAAGTAATAGTGAGAACAGATTGAAATCTGAGCAGCGAATTCACAATGAACTCAAAGAATTCAACGGGTGAAGTCTTTCCTGGAGAGTCCCTGCCCTTGGGGTGATGATCTTGGGGAGACCTTGGAGGAGCGGACAGGTGTTCCTCTCAGTCCGCAGCTCCTTACCTTGCTGTGCAACCCGAGTGTGAGGAGGAATCTTTGGTAGAAGCTGATATGACCTTGCATCACTAGCTCAGGGTGTTGAAAGCAGGCCACTCCAGCTAATTTCTTTAAACCCCATTTTCTACAGGTTGCTGATGGGCAAAAATGATTTATGAAACAGGAACTTTTGCCACAACTCTACATCCCTAGTCACAAAGAAACAGTTACAAAACAAATGCCCCCGTGCAAATTGGAATTGATTACAACGCAAATGTAAGTGGGGGACATATACTACTCACACCTTATTTCTTTCATGGTCCTGGTACCTCATCTCTCCAACTTAAATAATGAGTAGACCCCTCTTCAAGGAAAAGGAACATATGGCACCCAGTGTTGACAAATTATTTCGACTCTAATGTTACCTGAATATAAATAATATAAATACAATATTACTTACATAAATATGGTATAAATACCTATGGCTACAGACTATAAAATCCAAACCAATCTACACATTAAAAGTATAAAATTAATAATATTAAAATAAACATTGATTTAATGTTGTTTTGATGAAGTGAAACAAAAAATGTTGGTTCTAAAAGTAGAAAAGTGTGCCTGGTTGGGGTTGCTTAGTGGTTGAGCATTGACCCATGAACCAAGAGGTCACTGGTTCAACTCCTGGTCAGGGCATATGCCTGGGTTTCAGCTGGATCCCAGTAGAGCGACGTGTAGGAGGCAGCTGATCGATAATGTTTCTCTCATCATTGATGTTTCTATCTCTCTATCCCTTTCCCTTCCTCTCTCTTTAAAAATCAATAAGAACATATTTAAAAAATAATAATAAAAAACAAAAGTAGAAAAGTGCATGGAGCTATTTTGTTATTTAGGATTCTCTTTATTTTTAAGACAATAGATACTCATTTGAATGATCTTCATTATCATTTCTATGATTTTTCCTTTAAACGTTCATCTTGAATGATTAATTCATTAATTTTTTAGCTTTGCTGAGGTTAATTTCAAAATATTTAAAGTGTTCAAAGTGTGCAATAATAAATGTATACATTGTGAAAATATTCCCACCATCTAGTTAATTAACACATTTATTACCTCACATATTTATCTTTTTGTGTGTGTGAGGACATTTAAGTTTTGCTTTCTTAGCCAATTTCAGTTATATTATACAGTATTAATTATAGTCACTGTGTTTATATTAGACTAGAGGTCCGATGCACGAAATTCGTGCAAGGAGCTCACCCCCGCCTCCGCTGAGGCTGCCTCAGCCGAGGCTGCCTCAGCCCCCTGCCCCCGCGGCATCTGGAAGGTCGTCTGGTCTAATTGGCATATTACGCTTTTATTAGTATAGATCCTCAGACCTTATTCATCTTATAGCTGAACATTTGTACTCTTTCACCAACCCTCACCCCATGCCTGGTGATCAGTTTTCAATTCTGTTTCTATGAGTTTGCTTTGCTTTTCTTTCTTTCTTTCTTTTTTTTAGAGTCCACATATACTAGTAAATGATACCATGCAGTATTTGTCTTTCTCTGTCTGGGTTATTCCACTTAGTATAATGTCCTCAGGTTTGATCTATGTTGTTGCAAATGGCAGGATTTTCTTCTTTGTTATGGCTGAATACTATTCATATATACTGAATACTATTCATATATATATATATATATCACATCTTCTTTATTTATTCATTTGTTGATGGACATTTAGGTTGCTTACATATCTTAACTTTGTGGTTATATAATGCTGCAATGAACATATGAGGAAATATATCTTTTTTAGTGTTTTTATTTTCTTCAGATAAATATCCAGAAGTGAAATTGCTGGATCATGTGGTAGTTCTAGTTTTAATTTTTTGAGGAACTTCTATACATAGTGGTTGCACCAATTTACATTTCTAACAACAGTGAACAAGGTTTCTCTTTTTCCACATTCATGGCCAACACTTATCTCTTGTCTTTTTTATGACAGCCATTCCAACAGGTGTGAGGTGATATCTCATTGTTTGTTTGCATTTCCTGATGATTTGTGATGTTGAGCATCTTTTCGTGTACCTGTTGGCCATTTGTATGTCTTCTTTTGAAAATGTCTATTCAGGTCCTCTGCCCATTTTTTAATAGAATTGTTTGTTTATTTGGTTTTGCTATTGAGCTGTATGAGTTCTTTACATTTTTTTTTGGATATTTGCCCCTTATCAGCTATATGATTTGCAAATATTTTCTCCCATTCTGTAGGTTGCCTTTTCATTTTATTGATGATCTCCTCTGAAATGCAGAAGTTTTTTAGTTTGATGTAGTTCCACTTGTTTGTTTTTGTTTTGTTTTACCTTTGCTTTTAGAGTCAAATCCAAAAAATTATTTCAAAAACCAATATCAAAGAGCTTACCCCCTGTGTTTTCTAGGAGTTTTATAGTTTCAGGCCTTATGTTTAAGTCTTTGATCCATTTAGAGTTGATTTGGTAACATGGTGTAATATAGGGGTTCAGTTTTATTATTTTGCATGTGGCTGTCCATTTTTTCCAGCAATACTTACTGAAGAGACTCTCCTTTCCTCATTGTATATTCTTGACTCCTTTGTCCTAAATTAGTTGATCATACACATGTGTGTGTATTTCTCTGCTTTCTCTTCTGTTCATTAATGTATGTGTCTGTTTTTATGCCAATACCATATGTTTTGTTTACTATAGCTTTGTAAAATTGTTTGAAATCAGGAAATATGATGCCTCCAGATTTGTTCTTTCTCAATATTTCTTTATCTATTTGTGGTCTTTTGTGGTTCCATGCCATTTTGGAATTATTTTTCCTAGCTCTTTGAAAAATGCCATAAGAATTTTGATAGGGGTTGTATTGAATCTTCAGATTGCTTGGGTAATATGGACACTTTAACAATATTAATTCTTCCACTCCATGAACATGGATATCTTTCCAATAATGTGTGTCTTCTTCAATTTCCTTCATCAATATCTTACAGCTTTCAATGTACAAATCATTCACCTCCTTGGTTAAATTTATACTGGGTATATCATTCTTTTTTTAACATATCTTTATATTATTCTTTCTGATGAAGTTGTAAGTATTGTTTTGTTAATTTCTCTTTCAATAGTTCATTATTAGTATATAGAAACGCAACTGATTTTTGTATATTAATTTTGTATCCTGCAATTTTACTGAATTTGTTTATTATTTCTACCAGTTTTTTGGTGGAGTCCTTAGGATTTTCTATTTATAGTATCATGTCATCAGCAAATAGTGACAGTTTTACTTGTTCCTTTTCAATTTGGATGCCTTTTAATTATTTGACTTCCTTAAGTGCTTTGGCTTAAATTTCCACTACTATGTTGAATAAAAGTGGTGATAGTAGGCATCCTTGTCTTGATCTCAGAGGAGAAGTTTTAAGCTTTTCACCATTGAATATGACGTTAGCTATGGGCTTATCTTACATAGTCTTTATTATATTGAGGTACATTCCTTTTACACTCACATTGTGGAGAGTTTTCATCATGAATGAACGTTGAATTTTGTCAAATGCTTTTTCTGCATAATTGAGATGATCACATGTAAAGATCTGAGAAGCATTGCTTGGCAAGTAGTCAGAACTCAATAAAAACTATTATCATTATCATTGTGAATGGCGGGAAAGTGTCAAGTGAGAGTAGACCTTCTAGAAAATATGTGTCTGAGAAAACCTTTCATCTACCCTGTGTTCTCCAATGCTTGTTGAAGAAGATTAATTGACCAATAGACTTTTGACAGGGTTCCTCTTTCGATCTGATTTAGGAGCTGGTTGGTTATGTATGTTTCAGATGTTTTTGATGGCTTCTGTCCCTATAACCAATTTATTATCTCTTGACTTAAAGAGTGGCTTTTAAAGGTCACTACTCCCACCTGCACTTTTTAAAATTACTATGGAGCTGATAAGCTTACAAAGAAATTTAAAAAATAATAAAGGCCTCTCTATAAGGCTATGTTAACACATCACGTTCCTTTAGCAAGGCAGGGCATTTATAGGCATGAAGTCAGAAGACTGGCTTTTAGGATGACAGGTCACAGAAAGTATAGGTTATAGAGTCAGCAAGCAGATAAATGGGTTTTTAAAAATATTACAGAGTATTTTATTAAAGTAAGAAATGTTTGCATACTTCAAAGACCTAGAACAAACTCTCCAGAAATTCATCTGGAATTTTAAAAAAAGACCCTTAATAGCTGCAGCAATCTTGAGAAAGAAGAACAAAGTTGGAGGAATCACAATGCCAGATATCAAGCTATACTACAAAGCCACTGTTGTCAAAACTGCCTGGTACTGGCACGAGAACAGACATATAGAAAATGGAACAGAACCCAGAACCCAGAAATCGACCTAAGCTATTATGCTTAATTAATATTTGACAAAGAAGGCAAAACAGTCTCTTCAATAAATGGTGTTGGGAAAATTAGACAGATGCATGCAAAATATGAAACTAGGCCACCAACTTACACCATACACAAAAATAAACTCAAAATGGATAAAGGACTTAAATGTAAGATGGGAAACCATAAAAATCCTAGAAGAAGCCATAGGCAGCAAAATAGCAGACATTTGTTGTAGCAATATCTTTACCAATACAGCTCCTAGGGCAATGGAAACTAAGAAGAAAATAAACAAATGGGACTACATCAAAAATAAAAAGCTTCTGCTCAGCAAAAGAAACCATCAACAAAACAATAAGGAAGCCCACCGCATGGGAGAACATATTTGCTAATGTTATCTCTGATAAGGGTTCAATCTCCAAAATTTATAGGGAACTCATACAACTTAACCAAAGGAAGATAAATAATCCAATAAAAAATGGGCAAAGGACCTAAATAGACACGTTTCGAAAGAAGACAGAAGGAAGGCCCAGAGACATATGAAAAGATGCTCGAAGTCACTAATCATCTGAGAGATGCAAATCAAAACAACTATGAGGTACCATCTCACATCTGTCAGAATGGCTGTCATCAATAAATCAACACACGAAAAGTGCTGGAGAGGATGC